GGGGGCGGGGGAGGAGAGGGGGGGAACCCGGCGGCGGCCAGCGGAGCCGTGCAGCGCTCGCCACCGGCGCGGCTTTCGCGGGATGGAGCCGCCGGCAGGCCGGGCAGCGGGCGCTGCGGGGCCGGGCATCGCCCGCCGATCCCCGACACCGCTGCTCGTTGGTTTTCCCGTGACGCCTGACATCCCGCCTGCCGAGCCCGGGGTCTGGGCGAGCGGCAGGACCCCCCGGCTGGGTGGGGGTGGACGCGGGGAAACCTCAGCTTGGGCGTCCTCCTGGTTGCTGCTCGGGGTTTCAGCAGCCGTCGCCTGCCAAGCAGCCTCGGGCCACCAAAACCCAGAGCAGGGCCACCGCCGCTGCTCTCACTGCTCCGAGACCCAGGGGAGGCTGGGAGGCCCCGGCCCCTCGCACTGCCCTCCAGGCCTGGTTTCCTTCCCTGCAGCTGGGCTGAGCCCCGAGTGCTCCCCAGCTCCAGTGGTTCCTGGTGCTCCCCTGAGGGAACAGGACTGGGTTATTCTAAAATCATTCTCAGCCTGATTTCAGCATCTTTCCCCTGGGCCTCTCAAAAACGCAGCTCGGCGCCACGCTCTGCTTCCTGCTCCAGATGGGCGGAAGATGTATGTGCAGCGAGAGTGAGTGTGTGTCTCTCTCTTGATGTCCTTGTTCGCTAACGAGCCCTTTCCTCTGCAAAGGGGGCTGGGTAGCCAGCTGTGAGGTTTGCCACATTCAGGGTAAGCTGCCCCGTGCAGTGGGTAGCCCAGGTCCAGCTGTTACATCCCTGCCGGGAAACACCCCCTTTCCGGGCAGAGAAGAGGGATGGAGACAGTGCAGGGGGAGAGGATTTGTCCCTAGATGGAGACAGACCCCCTCCCAGCAGGCTGCCAGCTCTCACTGGTTCTACCCATTTTTCCTAGTGCTGATGCACCCCACCTCCCTTGTCTCCCGTTCCCACAGTTTCAGAGTCTGCAGCTGGAGCGGGAGATGTGCTTGGCGTCAAACTGCACCCTGGCCAGGGTGAACCTGTCCCTGCGCCCGCGGCTGGAGGATGGGAAGGCTTCCCTAGCCATCAAGTACCAGGAGCTGCGGGAGATCCGAGAGGCATGTTGGGACAAGCAGCAGCGCCTGGGTGAGTGGTGTGCAGCTGATGAAATAAGGCAGAGCCCACCAAGGCCAGAGCAACCCGCATTAATACAAGGGCCTGGGTGGGCTCAGCACCCTTGAACAGGGAAAATGGCCCAGCCATGATCAGGAGCAGTGGGGGGTAACGCTGCCTGTGACGTAGCCAGCCCTCAGCTGGGATAAAATGCCATGGTAGGATGCAGGCCTCCGTGTGCACGTGGCTCCAGGGATGTGTTTAGGGGTTTCAGTTTGAGGGTGGGGAGAGCTGGTACTTGGGGATGGGAAAGACTGCAACCCCATCAGTGGGGGCATCCGAGGGAAGGTCTGTTGGCAGCTCCGTCCTGTCCTGGCACAGATGCATACCTGGAGAAATGGAGCCCGCAGAGCGCCCTGGGCCACCTCCAAGCCAAGCTCGATGTCTCCGAGGCAGAGTCAGAGGTGAGTCAGGCAAGACCCTGGTGCTGCCGAGCCTTCCTCAGCTGGCCCCTGCAATGCTCTCCATGCCCTCCTGGCATGTCAGGCCCTGGAGGAGAGGGGGGGGGGGGGGGGGGGGGC